AGTTGATTGATTGATTGATTGATTAGTTGATTGTAATCTGCTTTGTACTCACAGGCGAACTTCTCTCAATATGCAAGTCTGTCTCTTATAACAAGTAAGTCAGTGCCTCAGATCTTGATTCACAATTTCTAGAAAAATTTAAAAGACTTATAGCTCATCATTGTATCTTCTCATTTCAGGCTTCTTGACACTGTAATCTGCAATTTAGACTCGATCTAACATCCAACTAACTGTGAGTATTACCTCGCTGTCTACTGGAATATTGTCGGGCTGTCGTCGGCATTGCGTCGGGATTCAGAAGAAAACATTTGGAACATCATCAAAGACGTTATTATAACTAGGGATCTCGGCTGTCATCGGCATTGCGTCGGAAATCTTGCGACTGCTCTCCGAAAGGTCGGTCGGTATTGTGGTTTAATTAATTACTGATCTTCGGAATTCCGTCGGAAATCTTCCACAATATCCGCATAAAGTCGAGAGACGTATTCGTTCGTCGAGAAATGTAATTGGTGTGCTTTATATATAGAGAAATGTATAAAAGACAGTTATCAATCCATTTTTTCAKGCCAAAGTGAAAGGTTTTGAGTTTTTGTCGTTTTGATTCAAAAAAATAAACCATGAGAACGCAAATGTTGTTGGCGGTCATATGAAATTCCAAGTGAGTAGTTAGAGTAGGCAGGAAATATCTTTAGTCATTCAGTGGCGGATCCAGGGGGGGTTCCATGATAAATGAAATAAAATTAAAACGCATCGTACAATGAATTTTTATTCAATATATTCACACTAAATTTGCTACAGTTCGAGAGGCACAGTAAAAAAGTTCGTTTTAGGAAAATGCGAAAACAAAGAGGAACCCCCCTTTGAAAAATCCTGGATCCGGCACTGTTATATGTGGTCGTTCTATATAATTATTTCATACCTTGGTCGATATAGTGGGGTCCACACAAAATGCAAAGTACAATTGTAATAAAAAGGTACAGCGACATCCAAGAGCTCGGTTCGACATAATGAGGTSATAAAGTGCTCGGTATAGTTAGGATTTCGTGTGATACGAAATACTAAATCAACTCATGGTCGATTCGAATAGGAAATGATAGAAARTCAGTTCATAACCGAAAGCATTTGATTTCTCCAAAATAATGTTTTTATAAATAATATTCCACGGCATTCATTTCTTCCAGGTGTTCTCTGTCCTTTCTAATAAGTCATTTAATTATATTTTTGGCCTCCAGCGGCGAGAAAAGCATTACAAGGTGCCGGTGATAACATATGCTATGAATTTAGCATGGTTTCTTGCTTGGACAATATCTCTGGAAATCAATAGAAATCAGATATTTGAGAATAATTTGTCGCATTTTCGTTCTTAAGAGCTCATAATGATTCATCTTTCTCTCATTATTTTAATTTTATGACTTTTAATGATTTATGAATATTCATTATGATGGTAGTTATTATGAGGTGTATAAAATGTCATTATCATCGAGTGTCCCCTAGTATTTTTAACTATGATTATTTCACACCACTTGSTCTGGCCATTTCCTCTGAACGGTCAAGCTTTACAAAACAAAAACAACTTCTCACGTTAGGAAAACTACTTTTAATGATTGACTTGACGTTTTTGGTCAAGTATGCAAGTCTTAAATACGAAGTTTCAATTGAAAATGACGCAAAATTACACTAGATTTCCTTGAAGTTTTTGCAAAAAGGAGATYTTCCCGTTGTATTCGCGTCAAGTTTATTTTAAACCTAGCATATTCCGTCGGAAGAAAAGAGATTTTGATATGGCGGCAARAAAATGCAAGAAAATTTCGATTTCTTTGGAAAAACTAACTGATGAGAGGTCCAAGAGGGTTAAAGCGAATACTCAGATATTTTTCACGGCGTCGATGATGACATCAAAGACGGCTCGAGTCAGATCGTCCAGCCTTCTTCGTCAAAGCATTTTGGATTCAGTGGAACGCAATGTGGGAACAAATATCAGCATTCATCAGGTAAAATTGTYCTTCAATTATCATTAATATTATAAATTTGCAATACTAGAAAAAAACTGTTTTTGTACTTTCTTTCCTTTTTTCTTTTCAACTTTCATTTTTTCCGATTCATTTCTAACTGAAAGTATATGGTTTATTAACTACAATCAAATTCTTAAATTTATTAAGTATATAATATCAAGATATGAGTATTTTTAGAACTAATAATCCTCCAAGGTAACATATTAATAACCAGCTTCAGTCTTTAAAGCTCCATTTGAAAGCGTTTTTTAAATATTGTTTTTGCTTCGTCAGGTTGAATTTTTATCGCTTTATTTAAATCTGTATTCGTTTGACATGTTCACCTTGGCAACATTTTTAGAAAGATCTTCTTATTTATTTTCAGCCGTAAACTTTAATCCGAATATCTCTGTGAGATTAGATGAATTGAGCAGTTTTATTTTTGCGCTATTTCGTTTCAAATTTTTTCAGAGATTTGGRTGAAGTTTATTTCTGGTGTCTATTCACAAACAGCTGATAGGATTCAATTATTTAATTATATACTAGGCAATTTATGCCACGCGAAAATGTAAAGTGTTTTTAATAAGAATACAGTTCAGAAAGTTTGAAATCAGAAGCCYGTTTGACAATCGTATTATTAGATCAAAAACGACTTTTTCTCACTTTATATTCAAATGAGCTACGAATTTATTATGTTTTTTGAGTTTCTGTCATTGCTAGCAAGCTCATAACAYAAAATTCAAGTCATTGAATTACCCCTTAATCGCGATATGCTAATTTGTATTTGTCAAAAAAATTCCTTTTCCTGATAGGAAAGATTGATAGCACACTTTAATTAAARTTTTAAAWTGTGATAGTTTACTCACAGCCAAAAACCTCTGTTTGCTATAGAAATCTTTTATGACCACTAATTGTCGATTTTTTCCGACATCTTTAGTTCTGGAAGTACAAATGAATTCCTTCTTCAAAGTGTGTGTTTACGTTCTCAAAAACTTACCATGACAAGTCAGATTAGACATTTCCATTGATAAGTCAGAAATGTTGCCTGAGGAGTGGGCATGTGACAAGTGCAGATTCATTACGAATCAATAAAGAAGACCTTCTTTGTTCAGGCTCGGATTTCTTATTTTGGTTTGACTGGGAAATCATATAAATGTTCMACTTTTTAATTTTTTGACACTTCTGTCATTTTAAATTCAAAGTGTTAGTTAACCAGTTGTATCAATTCCCACTAACAAACTTTTGTTTTGGAGATAGGAACTAGCGGCTAGAAGAAAAAAAAAWTGATAAGAAATGGCGGAGCTGTTAGGGCGAATTTTTGTTTGATAAGACTGCGAAAGTGAATGCAATTCGGAACCTGACTTTTATAATGAGTTTTTATATTATATTCAACGCTCGTGTCTTTTAGAAAACAATTTTTTGCGATCGTTTAAGTGTAATCTTAAACTTCGGCTGTCTTTTTAATGGATAATACGGAATTTTTGGTTAAAATTTGCTATATGAATTGCAAGGACAAATCTGAATCCAAGATGGCGGACACTGTCTTAACGCTTATGACGCTCTCGCTTATTTTGAGATTTATTCTTCTCAAGGGCAAAATCGATTCGTTCAAGATATTGGCTGAAAAATTATTGTCAAAAAGTATATAAATGAATATATAGAATAAAAATAAAAAATTCCACTAACAAATTTGAGCCGTACTACCGTCAAACTTGATGATGTTGTTGTTATTCATCTCCAAGGCTTGTCGCGAAGGAATTATTGACATTGTCGCAAAGCATCTTGGGAATCCAAACACTGCCATAGACGACCTTGATTCCAAGGGGTTTGCACCCTTACACTATGCGGCTCGCTACAAACAGACAGAGATCGCTTCAATGTTACTCAACTATGGAGCTGGTTAGTAGATTACAAATCAATCTTCATCTATTTCTCTTTGTATTTTAAATACTCTTTCTTTTCTTTCCTCGCTTTCTTCTTCCTTTTTTCCCCTTTATTTCTGTTACTTTCATTCCACTTTCTCTCCCTTCTCCCAAGCTTAAATGAGCTCAGTCCCYTCCTCCAATTAGTTTTCATAGGTCTTCAATTGACCGCTGCCAACCCTCCCTTTCTTTACATGTTTCTACAGACGTAAACATCGTTTCTGGCTTTGAATGTCGATGCATGACACCGCTTCACTTGGCTGTTCGCAGTAACTGTTTCGACGTTGTTTGTCTCCTGCTTGAGAAAGGAGCAGAGCTGGACAAACGATCYTTCTTTGGACAACACGCCTTGCATTATGCCGCAAGAAGATCATCAATTGATGTCATTAAGGTAGATCAAGATCGTATACAATCTATAGCCATGCCTTTGTCAATCTATCTGGTGCAGGGTACACCTTTGGCGACTCGAAAAGAGTCTAAGCTAAATTCAGACGAGGGAGTTGTCATGTAAAGGTTTAATTCTTTGCCTTGAATCTTATAATATAATAATAATAATAATAATAATATGTGGTATTTATATAGCGCCAATCTTCCTAAGATTATTCAGCAGCGACACGCCGTTGAAACTGTATGATATGTTTTCTTTCTCAGCTTCTTCTTGATCCAAAAGTCTCTCCTAAGGTAACTGACAACGAAGGGTGTACGCCTCTCCATGTGGCTGCAGCGTTTGGTAGACTTGATGCGGTTAAATTACTGGTAGTTCGTTCGTCAATTGAATAGATTCTTCGGATTAAAATTTAGACCTTATGCTTCTAGGCTTAAGACTGGTTCACACGAAGAACGCAAGCAACGCGCGCGAATGTGAACGTAAAAGCAAACGCAAGCAATGATTTCTTTTTTTTTTGTTTTCTTGCACTTGTGATTGCATATGCGTTCGCTTCAACGTGCGAACTGGTAAACTTGTGTTTGCGTTGCTAGTATGAACCAGCAAGCTTTGATAATTTGTGTTGTGACGAGCTTTCAAWGTTGTAGTCGTACCCAGAAGCTTCTCAGTTTCGCAAAGAGGCTCTGGTTGGAGACGAATGATTGGTCCAAAAATCCCTATGCACCAAATCGTACGACCAAGATTCTGGGCCGTGATATATATACAATTGAAGTTGATTGTCGTTGTAGCTGATGTACGGTGCCGATCCATGTCAAATGGACTGTGATCAGTGTACAGCCATCCATTGTGCAGCCAAGGAAGGACGTCCTGAAATACTCCGAGAACTTCTCAAAACAGGTTCAGTAGAATTTGTTGTACAAATCTAATGACTAATGTATATTGTTTCTTATCTGTTTTCTTACAAGTCCTTGTAAGTTTAAGCCTAGGACTTTCTTTGGAGAATTAAGAACT